TAAAACTAAGACAATTCCAAAGGACTCATGATGGAAAATGCTATCCACATTCAGAGAAAGAACTATGGAGTCTGAATGCAGATCAATGCATACTATTTTCTCTCTCTGTCTTTATTTCTTTTTATTTTTTCTTTCTCATGGTTTTTCCCTTTTGTTCTAATTCTTCACAACATTTATAATGTAGAAATATGTTTAATATGATTGTATATGTAATAGCCTATGTCAGCTATATCAGGTTATAGCTGTCTTGGGGAGGGGGAGGAGGAGAGGGAGACTCAAAATCTTATAAAAGTGAATGTTGAAAGCTAAAACTAACTAAACAAATAAATATAAATAAAAAGAAATGGGAAATGTGATAAATACAGTATTTTAGGAATATTAATTGGATAGTAATAGTGTAGCACAGAATGACCTGAAAGGGGGTTTGATGAATTCAGTTCAACTCAATAATCATTTATTGGGCACCAGGTCTGTGCCAAGCACTGGAAACACAAAGAAAAATAAAGTAATTCTGCCCTCATAGAACTTAAATATTAGGGGGAAATTGGAAGAAAGCGTATTTACATAGAAAATTAAATACAGAAACTATACAAAAGTTTTTGTGGGAGTTTTGGGAAGAAGACAGGATCAGGAAAGGATTCCTATAGGAGGTGGTAAGTAAGCAAAGTTTTGAAGGAAGCTGGGACTTCTAAGTGGGGGAAATGAGGAAGGAATTTTTTATTTTTTCCTAAAAGCAAAAGAAATCATTAAAGTTCCTTGAGCATGTGAACAATAATCACTTGACTAACAAGCATTAAGTGACTACTATATACAAGATGGGCAGCAACATGGTACAGTGGACAGAGGTACCCAGCCTAGACTTAGGGAGACCAAACTTCAAATCCAGCCTCAGGCATTTATTAGCTGTGTGACCCTGGGCAAATCACTTAACCCTGTTTGCCTCAGTTTCTTCATCTGTAAAATGAGCAGGAAACGGCAAAACATTCCAGTATATTTGCCAAGAAAACCTCAAATGTGGTCATGAAGAGTTGGACACCACTAAAAAAAACTGAACAATATTAACATGTATAAGACATTGGACAAACTTGTGCTTTAGGAATATAAATTTGGTGCCTGAGCTGAGGATGAACAAGAAAGTGAAGACTGGAGCAGAAAGGCCAATTAAGATACACTGCACTAACTGAAACAAGTTGTGATAAGGCCTTGACCTAGGATAGCAGCTGTGTGAATGCAGGGAAGGGGACAGATGGGATAGATATTGGCATGGTAGAAGCCGTAAGATTCTAGATTTAGACAACTGGCTGGATATATGTGGGGTGAGTGGGAGGGAAAAGTTCAAGATGACTCTGAGGTTTCTAATGAGAGCTGCTACTGCTATTTGTCCTTTGATAATCAGGAACGTAATGCCATGACATGCAAGTGAATTGGATTTAAGTGAGGCAGGGCTGTGCAGGTCACCAGTCTCACTTTCACCTCCGGAGCCATCTGGTTACAGTGGCTAGATAGAGATCAGGACAACTGGAGATGGCCCATGATGCAATGGGGATCGTTGGCCTTTTCAAGCTAAGGTCCTTAATAGGTCTCAGTTTGACTGAGGCAAAGCCTATTTAGTAATTAAGGCTTACTAAGAGAGCAGTGGTGCCATAAATAGAAACTGGGCAACTAGGAATGGGTAGGGTTTGAGGGCAAAGATAATGAGGCTGGTTTTGGTCATGTTGAGCTTCAGACAGCTAAGGGACACACAGCTGATTCTCTCTCCAAGGTCACTTCAACCTCTAAATCAATGCTATTGTGATGACGCTGTATAGAGAACCTTAAAAGTGAGGAAAATTAGGAAGATGGCTAATGCAATATTCCATAAAGGGTAAAGGAATTATCAAAAAATGTTCTGGGACTTGCTGGAGGGAAGAAAAATAGGAGTGGGTAGGTAGGAGTATACCAGGTTTATGGCAACACTGCTAAAATAATATATCAGTTATTCTGAAAATCAAGGGACCACCCTCTCACCCCTGCAAATAAACAGATACATCAAGTAATAGATTTTAGTTTAGCTGTAGAGCCTGAAATACCATTGACTGTACCTTAACAAAACTACTTCTATTATTACAGCAACTGTGAAATCCAGTCAAGTCAACAAGTATATATTAAGCAACTACACTGAGTCAGTGCCACACACTGGGGATCCAAAGAAAGGCAAAAACCAGTGCTTGTTCTCAGGCAACTCACAATCAAATAGGAGAGGAAATATGCAAACAACTGTGTACAAACAAGAGAGAACAAGATAAATTAAAGGTAATCTCAGAGAGAAGACTCTAAGATTAAGGGAGACAGGAAAACCTTCTTGAAGAAGATAGGACATTAACTGATACTCAAAGGAAGCCAGGAAAGTTAGGAGGTGGAGACAAGGAGGGGGGATGTTCCAGACATGGGGGAGAGCTGAAGAAAATGTATGAAGGAGAGAGAAGGAATGCTGTGTGCAAGGAAAAGAGAGGAGGCCAGCATCACTAGATCACAAAGTACATGGAAGTCAGAAGGTGGATAAGTAGGACGGGTTCAGGTCAAAAGGGGCCTTTAAGCTAAAAGGAGGATCTTATATTTGATGCTGAAGGTAACAGAGATGTACCAGACCTTCACAATAGGGGAATTTCTCACGTACACATCTTTAGTATTCTCTCTCTTCCTGTAAATTTTGAAAGACTTATGTTATTGAGAAGGGTAGTGAAATAAGAATTTTTACCTTTTTTTCCTCATCTTGAAAATGATGTAATGTCTATCTAAGAATGTTAATCTAAAGGATAATAAGAGAGGAGGAGAGAGAACACAGGAGTGCCGAGTGGGAGGAGGGGAGGAACCCTAGTAGACATGCAATGGCTAGGAAAAACTGACAGATAGCATAGTAAGGACAGGGAAAGTCTATATGAATTAGCTTCCAGAACTTCTCAAAGACTTCCCCCCAAAAGGTAGAAAGCTTACACTTGGAGCAACACTGTAGTAACAGAAGAGAAAAAAGAACATAATGTGCCTTATTTACAAGTTTGTCTCATCATAATCACAGGAAAGGCTATAAGCACAACAATTACTCAGTTCTACATAAAAAGATTTTGCCTGCTTTTAGTTTAAGATGAGATATTTCTTTGAAATACAATCAAAGCACAATACTTCAAATGAAAAGTCCCACTAAACCTACAGAGCCCTAGTCTTTACATAGGGGAACACTAGAGATTTTGGAATAGCACTTTACATTACCAGGTACTAACCTAACATGCTTCTCTAGATGGTAGAGAAAGATATGACTTATTTGCTTTTGAAAAATGAATTCTGAAATTTTCTAAAACAAATAATGCTTTCTAAACAGACAGTAAAATCAGACATTTAATTTTAGGGATGTACAATCATAAATTAAGGGCAGAGTCTTAGTTGCTTTCCATTAGTATATTAAGTATAGAGATAACATATCAAAGGGTGACAAAAATTACTACTGTGTTGATTTTGCTAACAAACAAGGCCAAACAAATCTTTGACAAGTTAATGTTGCAAAGTGGTTAGTTCTTCATTTCCATCTCTAATGGCGGGAGGATACAATCACAGAAGCTAGAAGACAACCTGAGAGGTCACCTACTACTACTCTAACTCCAAGAGGTCTATGGGACAAAATTTAGACAGAAGACATGAAGGGAAAGAACTTATCTAATTCCAAGTCCCAGATTTGCCCGCTAATTGATCTGACTTATATGGGCAGTCATTTCATTTATTCTACATAAGGGGAAAAGTATAACACAAGCATTCATGGGAGGTTTGGGATAAAGTAAGCACAAGTGAAAGGCAGAGCCATCTCTCGAGACTTTTGCTGAGATCAGGTGTGTGAGACTATGTTTTGGAGGGCCTGTGTTAAAGATATGAACTTGATCCATTAGAGCCCTATCTTAAAGAATCCTATTTCCCTCTACTATGCCTTTTCTAACTCTATTAATCCCTAGTGGTTTCTCTGAATATGCTGCACATCCGTAAAAATCACTGTCTACACCAACACATTTTGGCAAATAATCATTTGTAATGTTCTCTTGCTCTATATTGGTAGAATTTCCTCATTCGGGGTTCTCTATACCAAGGAAATCACAGATCCAACCCCTATTTCAGTCTCTCTCATTCTATAATGGGTTCACATGTCTCACATTCGCAATGAGCCTGCAATCTCCTCAAAGTTAGACACAATGTCTTGCTTCCAATACAGCATGATGTAGTAGAAAGAACATTACTATAAGAGGCAGGAGATCTGGATTCTAGATTCAAGGTTTCCTTTTGCTACTTACTAGATATGTGAACTTAGGAAAATTACTTAAATTCTCTATTTTCACTAACTTATCTATAAAATTGGAAAATGCCTTACCTAGCTGAAAAAACTATGATGGTCTCCTCTACCATCTACAACTATGATTCTGTCTCTAGCACAGAACATGATATGCCAGAAAAAAACAGACATTTAATAAGCACCTGTTAAATTTAACATTTAAAAATATTAAAATGAAAAAATTTATAGGTAGAAAACTTAAACACATCTGGTTAAAATTTTTAATATGTGTAATACTGCTTAATACTCAATAACTTAGTAAGCTTTAAATACAAGATTATGATAAGGATAAATTACTTAAGGTATATCCTTTCACATGTGTCTTCAGAGGCTTACTATAGGTTTATTTCAAAGTAAATATGGTACAAAATATAATGACAATACGTTTACCAGATGCTAAGGGCTAGAGATCTAAATTAGTAATACCATTTAAATTCTAAAAAACATCACATGAGATTTCATTAAAATGTTTCATAAAAATATTTATGCATGTTTCAATAATTTTTCATAGTAATTATGTCATAGTAACAATGTCTTCATTTTAATCAAATGTATAAACAATAATTGATAGTCACAATAAGGCAGCACAGCTTCTTCAATAATTTTAAAATTCATTCTAAATAGAAGATCCTGGCTCCAGAATGTTACTTACTTTTTCCACATATTCAAACACCAAGTATAATTTCCCTCTTCTTCGGAAAGCTTCCTTCAACTCCACTATATTTTCCTGTTTTAGAGTTCGAAGCATTTTAAGCTCTCGTAAAGTTGTTTCCTTGACTTCTTCATTTTCTAAAATCCAAACAATGATAAAGAGAGAAAAATGAAAGTGTTCATATCTACGGAAAATACTTCTAGGCAAGCTAAGAAAAATATGCACATTCACCAAAATTAAGTCCCAGTCTAATGAAATAGTTAAAACTGTGGCTTCTGTTTTACAAAACTTATTCATGAAAAGCCCAGAAACAGATTATTAAATGGCATATGATCATAGTGTGATGTATAAAGTTCTATACTTGAAAGCAGGAAGAGATGAGTTCATATCTCACCTCAGACACTATTTGTACGGCCCTGGGCCAATAGAGGCAATACAGAGAAAGGAATAAGCATTTATTAAGTACCTACTCTGATCAGGCACTGTATTAAGAACTTCACAAATATCTCATTTAATCCTCACAACAATCCTGGGAGGTAAGTGCCATTATTATCTTCATTTTGCAGTTGAGGAAACTGAGGCAGACAGCAGTTCAGTGACTTACATGGGGTTTCACAGCTAGTGAGTGTCAGAAGCCAATTTGAATTCAGGTCTTCTGGACTCTACACCCAGCAACGTGCTACATGGCTTCCAGGTCACCAAATTTGGCATCAGAAAGACTTGGATTGTAATGCTACCTCAGCTGAGTGACCCTGGACAAATCATTTAAAATCTATTTCCTGATCTGTAAAATGAAGGGGTTGAACTCCATGGTCTGAAGTCCCTTCCAACTCTAAATCTAGGATCCTGTGATATGTCATTTACCCTTTCTCAGTTTCCTTATCTATAAAATGGTGATAACAACATATGTACTACTTACTTTATAATATTTTTGTGTAGATGAAATGACACAAGGAATGCAGAGTGGTCTGCAAATATTACAGGGCTACATGTCAGTTATTATTATGACTTATTTAATATTTTAAAAATAACCAGAAGAAAATATATTCCAGTCCCTTTCAAATCATAGGATCACAGTGTTAAGAGATGGGAGTGTCTTTAGAAGCCATCTAATCTGGCCCTTTTCTTTTGACAAATGAACAAACTAGGCCTCAGAGAAGTTAAATGACTTTGCAGTGGTAATACTGCTAGGAAATGTCAGAGATGGTTTAAGGATCCCTGAGTCCAGGTCCAGCACTCTAGATTCTCTCTAACAATAAAGTCCTTCCTTCAAGGAAAAGGATGATTTTTAGTTCCAGGAATGACAAGATTTCCATTTGTATTTTTCAAAAATGCAAATGCCCATATATATGTGAAACAAATATACATGCCAACAGATGCCAAAACATAGAATTTTGGAGTTAGCAGGATCTTGGAGATTACCTAGTCCAATGAATACCTGAACAGTAATCCTTTCAGTTGAGGCCCTGATCTTCTACTTGCTACTTGAGGACTTCACTACTTCTGAGGTGGCCAATGTTACTTTGGGAAAGTTCTATTTCTGAAATAGATTTTTTTTTTCCTCCTTTAAATGGAAATCTCCCTCTCCAACTTCCAGTTACTTCTGAAGATAATCTTACTTAATGGTGAATTAGGAAATGTGTATATAGATACAATTAAAAGGTCAGTGGAAGAATAGCCTTAGTCCCTGTTATATTGAGCATCCTGGAAGTCTACTGTGTTGCCGGGCACCAGAGCCATTTGGTATTGGCTGCAAGCAGTTTTGTTCTGCAGAGCTGCCCATGACAGCAATTGGTTGTCTATAATTGTTCCTCTCAGCTATCCAGTTACATCTGCACATATCTTTGGTCTGTGTTTCAATATTCTAGCTATAGATAAAATTACTTATAGATCTCAACATGTATCCAGTAGCATTTGAATAAGGAAGACCTTGACACAATTTAATTCAATAAACATTTGTAAGTGTCTAATCTCTGCAAAGCACTGTGCTAAGCAGTGGGTAAAAACAATTAGTACTCAAGTGATCCATTATTGGAAATGTCTAGAAATCATTTCAATTTTTTATTCAAGGTAAAAGAAGTGACAATAAGGGTAAATAAAAGCTACAGACAGACTATAATATCATTTTTGAGAATTGTGATTTCAATGTCTTCCCCTAAGAGCCTTTGAAAAAGCAGCTAACAGGCATCAAAACTGAATTAATTGAGTTATGCCTGTTCACTATTATTCCCAGCTGTCCTCTAAAAAATGTAGTAATAATGAATGGAAGGGCCAAAAAACTGACAGTATGTAGAAGTAAAGGAGAAACTAGAGACATGATTAATCTAACTGCACATTCCTAAGATACCCAAGAGCAGTATATAAGTGACTACTGCAATAGAGGCACTCAATAAATTGAACTGAAATTTCTTAATTGAAACTAAGGAGACTCTTTGCCACTTGTGAAAGAAGTGACTGTGCCAAAATGGGGTTTTGCCTCTGAGCCTCAGAGGTATTTCTTCTCATTACCTGACAAAGCTATTTCACAGGTAGGAGATATAACAAGTAACATGGCCAAATAGTCTTATCATGAACATTTTATTGATTCTACAACTAAAATTACAAAGTTCACCAGATATAAAGGTAAACTCAGCCCACTAGCCACAGTATACAATTATAAACGCCCAAGACTGCAAAATGTTAAATGACATATAATACCATAATATTAGACAGGCACTCAAACCTCAAAATGAGCATAAAGCTATACAGGTTTGTAGACAGCCTATCCTAATCCAGTGGTCTTACTGAAGAGGGAAGATACAAATAATTTCTATCGAAGACCAAATGAAAATTTTGCTTTAAACAATGTCAGTCTATTATTGCTTCCTTAAATTAAAAGTCCACAATTTGTCCCCAGTGCTAAGAGGATTAATTCCAGGGGCAACTAGGTGGCACAGTGTATAGAACACTGGCCCTGAAGTCAAGAGGACCTGAGTTCAAATCCAGTCTCAGACCAAACACTTGACACTTACAAGCTGTGTGACCTCAATTGCCTAAAAATAAAAATTTTTTTTAAAAATTGCCTAAAAATAACAAATTTCAAAAAAGAGAATTAATTCCAAAAACTTAATTCTAACATTCGAGGACCTCTATGATATGTTCCCACCTCTTAAATACTTGGTCACAGCCTCAAGATCAAGAAAGGAAGGTTTTAACTTTCTCATGTATTTACTTTCACCAAAGTTTGTTTAGATGCACTTCTGTATTTGCTTCATTTTATTTTCGCCTCACTTGTAATCTGAATTATAGAATGTTGGAGATGATATTATCCAAACATTTCATTCTGTAAAGTAGGAAACTGTGACCTAGAGAAGTGCTGGTGAATAGCTAAAGTTACAACTAGGACTTAGGATTTTCTTGTCTGTTCCCATTTCCCTAACAGAAACTCTCAAAATCATAATGCCAAAAATCACCTCATTTAGAAAATGCATCTTTTGCTTCTCCACAAGTACACCATTCATAAATATCCTGCATTGCACCAAACCAAACTCCCATGAATGGGCAACATGTTCAATTTTTGGCATAGCCAATATTTTCCCCTTTAAAATGCACTTATTTTCCCAGTGAAATTTCCTGCATACAAGTAATCCTTAGGAACATGTTACAGCCAACTTTTACATACTATGAGTCTCTCCATTGCTGACTGAGTCAGCATTTTGATTCTTCCAACACTGTGGGGATCCATGACTTCTTGCTAAATATCATAATCAGCAAAATATTGATTTTTTAAAAAAAAATACATAGGTTTTTGAGTCTGGGAACATCTTAGAATCACTGACAACACTGCATTTTGCCAAATTGAATTCAACTTCTCTTTTCCTTCTTTTCAGTTGTTTCTATAGTTTATTTGTTGTAACTGTCCAAAATACATTTATTAATGAACTAACTCAATGAACTGTCCTCTCAGTAGACACCTATTTCTACCACAAGACTACACAGAAGGGACCCACTTGAGGGCTTTTCAGCTGTTATTAATGATTGCTTGTACTCTCTGCCAAAACCGGAGAGGAAGTATTTAGAAATTAATGGATAGGATAAGAGAGGATCATTCATTCAACAACTATTTATTAAGCTCCTACTATGTGCAATTAACTGAAAAGAAAAAGACCAAAGTGTAACAGTCTCTAAATGCTAAACATTTATAGGCATTATAACCTACTAAGGAAGCATACCGGATAGAATACTGTGCCTGGAGTTATGAAGATCTCAATTCAAATCAGGCCTTACACACTAGCTGTGTGACCCCCTGCAAGTCACTTAACTTTATTTGCCTTAGTTTCTCCATATGTTAAACAGGGATAATAATAGTACCTACCACTCAAGGTTACTGGGAGGATTAAATGAGATAATATTTATAAAGCACTTAGCACAGTGCCTGGCACATAGTAGGTGTATAATAAATGCTTATTTCCTTCCTTCCCACTGGCAAACATAAGACAAAGGTAATTTGAGACAGGGTTAAGTGACTTGCTCAGGGTCACACAGCTAGTAAATGTCTGAGGTCAAATTTGATGTCAGGAAGATGAGTCTTCCTGGAATCCAGGCCTAGGTGCTCTATCCACTGCAACACCCCACTGTCCCTGGATGTCACTTGAGTTGAGCCTTAAAAAAGAATAAGCATTTAAAGAGACAGAGATGAAGGAGTAACTGACACCTAATTCATTGCCAAATCTTTTATCTCTTAAAACATCTCTTGTACTCTTTTTCCCTACACTCACAGCCATTACCCTAGTTCAGGCCTCATCACCTCTTGATTAAACTGCTAAAATAGCTTCTATTTGGTATTGCTTTCCTGCATCAAGTTTCTCCCCACTCCAATTCATCCTTTAGACAGCCACAAAAATGATTTTCCTGAAGTACAAGTAAAACAATGTCACCCTCCTACTCAATAAACTCTAGTGACTCCCTATTACCTCTAAGATCAGATATACACTCTTTTGAACAACACTTAAAGTTCCTCACAACCTGTTAAATATTACTACTCCACATATATTTACAATTTAACCCCACTGGCTTCCTTAATGTTCTCCTACACAATATTGCACCTCCTGACTTCATCCATGCCTTTGCTCCGGCTATTGATCCCCATGTTTGGGAA